AGAGAGTGAGTGAGTGAGTATAGGCATGGGGGTCTCTCTCAATGAGTGAGTGAGTGAGAATAGGCTTTATGGGGATCTCTGTGAGTGAGTGAGTGTAGGCGTGGGGGTCTCTGTGAGTGAGTGAGTGAGTGAGTGAGTGAGTGAGTGTAGGCGTGGGGGTCTCTGTGAGTGAGTGAGTGAGTGAGTGAGTGAGTGAGTGTAGGCGTGGGGGTCTCTCTCACTTCTGTCACCTCCAGTGCAGATTAAGGGTGAATGTGCATAGATCCACTTTTCTGTCCACAGCAGTCATCAGATTCCACGCAGGGTGCAAAACTACAGAAAACTGGAGTGGGTAGAAGGGGCTGGGCCACAAACTGCGAGTGGAAGCACAGCTGACACGCGGGTCCCAGCTTCTCTGCCCTTCCCCACCCCCAGGGCGAAGGCTGTTGGCCTCAGGGCAACGGTAGGCCTTTTCCAGTGGTAGTACCCTGGCTTCCAACAGATGAAGGCTCCTGCTGGCCTGGCCCAGGGACAGAGAGAAAGCCCAGCAAGCCCCTGGAGCTACGGAGAACGAGCTCACCCCTAACTCCCCCAAGGGTCCCACACAAAGCCAGGCCCAAAGGACATTTCTGGTGAGACACGCAGGCTCTGCCCTTGGGTTCAAGTTGTGGGTGTCGGCCAGGCAGGAGTCTTCCATGCTTCCAGACGCCACAAGGCCCCACGTGGCTCTCAAGGGCCAGTGACAGATTGACTGAACACAACAGCAAAGGGTGAAAATCAATCGAGATATTTAATAGACAGTGCAAACCATAATTTCATCTGCATATAAATGTGCGCACATGTTTCCAATGAGTGATCTATCAGTTATCACAAACAGCAACAAGGGCCTTCGACCTATGTTAGAAAACGTATAGCGGGGACCGAGCTCTAACCACCGCGTCCGACCCCGAGGGGAAGCCATCCATTTCCATCAGTCAGTGGCAGGAGGGGCGGCCGGGACAGAGCGGAGAACGTGGAGCCGGCACACGAACGGTGGGCGGAATCCGGACCACCAGGAAACCAACCTCAGCTGCATCCTCGCAGCTAGAGGGAAGGAAGGACAAGCCCGTGGCTTAAGATCGGCATCCCGGCCAACCCACACAAGTCTTACAGAGTGTGTGTGACACCGGCCGGCCGGCTTCCAAGGTCATAGGCTACGTTTGCCCATCATTTCGACCGCCTACCGTCAACCCCTTCCATTGAGGGTTCAGCAGTGGAGTTAGCGTAGTCCAGAGGCTCAATGTTGGATTTGCAAATACAGTTTATTTTACAGAAATTCAACATTATAAACAGCAGGCACCTCCCACCCCGCCGCCCACCCCCCTCCCCACCCGCCCCGCTGGGTGCAGGCCATGCGATGCAGAGTGAGCAGTGATGTGGCGTGGGAGAGCAATTCAGAGCGATGGCAACCTGCCTGCCCCACGTCCTGCCTGCCCCGCACACACATGCGCCTGCCTGCTGCCACAGGCCACCAGTCTGTCTGGGCCTAGCCGGGCGGACCGGTTACATGGACCCAGCCCAGGACTCCAATTCCTTCATGTCGTCGTCTTCCTCTTCCTTCTTCTTGGCTGTGGAGAGGAGCAGAGGGTCATTCAGGAGGGCTGGCGGCTGTGCTTCCAACATGTCCTGGCTGGGTGCCCGGGGCTGTGCGACATGGTGCTTGACAAACCCGTCCCGCCCCTGCCCAGGCTGCACTTCCGGGCCCCAGCAGCCTCTGCTTTCCTGCAGCCTGCACTTCCATCAGGGCCACGCATGACCAGAAAGCTACCCAAGAAAGGCAGGCAGATTTACATGAGCCCTCGCCTCCTTGGCACCTCAGGCTGTGGGGAAGGGAGAGCCCCAGGAGAGTCCGTCCTGACAAGCCCCCAGACTCCACCCCATGCTTCATAAGCCCAAGCTGCCCGTGCATTGCTTGAGTGGTCGCCTCCCTATGCAGATGGGAGGATGTGTGACCACCACCTGGTCACCGACTCTCTCTCCACGCCAAAGCACAGCTCCACCTCATCTAGAAGTTCTATGTCAGCAGTTCTCAACCTGGGGGTCGAAGGACGCCCGATTCATAACAGTAGCAAAATGACAGTGATGAAGTAGCAACGAAAATAATTATACGGTTGGGAGGGGGTCACCACAACATAAGGAACGGTATGAAAGGGTGGTGGCATTAGGAAGGTTGAGAACCATGGTTCTATGTGGAATATGTGTACGGAGGATGGGGAGGGGGAGGTTGAGTGGAAGGTGAGAGGAAACAGGAGGAGGAGATGGAAGTTCTGTTCTCTCGACAATGTCTGACTATTTGCTAGTCTCTGAAGGGCGCCAACACATCACAGCACCAAGCCTCCTTTTCTCTGTAGCCTCTGCAGGTATGCACAAGGCAGGATGCTGGAGAAAGGGACAAACAAGCGCTATCCTGAGGAGGACTCTTACACACACACACACACAATCTGGCAATTTCTGGAGTTTCTGGAAAGAAGAGTATGTGACTAGCATCTAGTTGGTAGAGGCCAAGGATGTTCGAAAACATCACAAGATAACCCCCACCCACCCCACTCAAACAAAGAATTACTGGTTTCCCAAATGTCACTTGTGCTGAGGTTAAGAAACTGTTCTAGAGAGGGACTAAGGGCAGGTGGCATCAGCTACATGGCTATCACATCAGATCCTGCCCAGTCCTCAACCCCAAGCAAACTCAGGACTCAAATGGAAGCCAGCTGACCACCAGCTCGCCCAGCAGGTGGCAGGGGAACGGGCCGGACGCACAGTACTCACTTTGTTTCGATGGGAGGGTGACGGGAACATTTGGTAGGGGGACTGTTTCGGGTCCACTGATTTCCAGCAAATTCTTATCTAGTTCCTCCTGTTCTAGTTCCTCTAATTCTGCCATGAGTTCATCCTGTGAAAGGAAGCACAGAGTGATAGCCACGCCCAGGCAGCCCAGCCCCTGCAGATGTCCTTCTGGGAAGATGAGAGCGGGCAGGAGGCAAACTTCAGGGCTACATTCTGTGGCTCCAACACGCTTAAACCCGCATCTACTGGGGACGGCAGCACGCCGCTGAGCAACTGTCGGCAGGGCCTTGCAATGATGTGATCCGACCCGTTTTACAAGCGGGAGCATGAGACCCAGGAAGCTGGAGCAACTGGCTTGGGGTATCCTGAGAGCGGGGACCCAGGCTGGGTTCCGGCTGCTGTGGTTGGGGACATGCGCATGCCCCTGGCCTGAGCATCTAGGGGAGGGACTGTGGTTTCCACCCGTTTCCGGGACTCAGAGCAGAGCGGGGCTGCAAGAGCAAGCACTCAGGAGGGCCTGCTGACGGGCAGCTCACTTGCTTAGTCCACCAGACTGCAGACTCACGACAGAAAGCCCTGTGCTAGGAGCCCAGGGCAGGTCCCAGCTGCATTCTCAGCTACCCGGTGCGCAGCCAAAAGCACAAGTCCCGCTCAGGGCAGAGGGCTGATCACCGGTGGACCCCAACGAAGGCAGAATGAAATAATGGCCGCCATGGCAGTCCCTGTATTTTAAAAACCTGAGACTCACGTCGTGCCCGGCTGGCGCAGAACCCAGTGGGTGACTGAGACCCAGCCTGGTCACTGGGGGGTCACTGTCTGAGGGGAGACCCTGTCTGCCTCTCTAGGGTTCGGCATGGAACGGTGAGGGTAACTATTTGTTACAACTAATTCTTGACCTTTGTAGGGGTCTCAATAAAGGTGTCCTTGCTCCCCACAAGCATCCGCTCCAAACGAGGAAAACACCCCTCAAAATCCGGACTGCATGGGGGTTCATACCCCTCCCTGTCCCAGTCTCTGGAGGGTACGAGGTGGCGATGAGCCCAGACCACAGGCCCATCGGGAGGAGGCTCGGAAGTTTACGCATGCTCCTGCACAGCCACTCACCTCGTCAAACTCCTCTCCGAAGCCGACGGGCTTGGAAATCGCTGTGGAGATCTCCTCCGCAAGCTCCTGCTGGTCAGCAATGTCCTGCATCAACTCATCTACCTTATCGATGTCCCTTTAAACGCAATGGGCAGGGGTCACATGGGCGATCGGGCTGCATGAGGGAGGTCTGCGAGGCAGAGGCCCACAGCTTCCCAGCCCCACTCCCACAGTTACTTCCCGGGAGGGATTACCGTATATACTCGTGTATACACCAAGTTTCCCAGCACATTTTTATTATAGTTTTGTGGTAAAGTTAGGAGCCTCCGCTAATATTCGGGTCTGCTTACACTCGAGTATGTACAGTACCTCTTTTTCATCACTGCCTTCTGCCCCGATTTTCAAATACCGAAGCAGAACATGAAGGCAGTGGTCAGACTCTTGGACATCACCTAGCCCAGCACCCTAAAGTAAGGCTTAGCAAAGTCAGGGCCGACAACAAAACAAAACCCGCTACCATGGAGGCAATGCCGACTCAGGAAAGGATCCTAGAACTGCTCCTGCGACGTCCAAGACTTGTAACTCGATGTGGGAGTAGAAAGCCCTGCCTTTACAAGTTAATAAACAGGACGGACGAGACCATGGGCTTTAACTCTTCTTTAATTACTTACGCCACCCTCTGCTGCTGAGTATCTGATTCACAGAGTCCCCACAGGGCAGAGCAAACTGCTCAGCAGGGTCTCCAAGGCTGCACATCTCCATGGGAGAAGGAGTGGCTGGTGAGTTCAAGCTATTGACCTGGCATCAGAAGGCCAATACGAAGCCCATTCCCCCATCAGGGCTCCTCTGAGCTCGTTTCTGAGGCCACCGCAAATGAGCAGCAGCCACGTGGAGGAGGAAGCACGGCTGAGGGCAAGGATCCTGGCAATGGGACGGCCAAAGCCAGAGAGCAAAAGAGGGGCAACAACCAGAGTGCCCGGGGCCTCCACTCGGCACCAGGAAAGAGTCCTGGGCAGACTCAAGTCCCACCTCTGTCCGAGCTCTCTGGGAGTTCGCTTGCCCACTCTGATCATCAGAGACCTGGGGGAGAGGACTTTCTAAGGACCGTTCTGCCCTGACACTCTCGGCTCATCACAATAACCCGGAAATGAGTTTCATTCCTGGAGCTCTGCTTCTGAATCCACTTTAGAAAGAGTTCCACAAAGAGAATGCCTATGGAACAAACTCGGTGGGGGGGTGGGGGTGTTGACTGGATATGCCTGAAGGTCCACCCAAGGCCATGGCCTGGGCATAAGGCATCCCAGGGCCTGCAGGGCCCTCCCAGGCAGGTCCCCTCCCCTCCCCCCGCCAGTGGGGGGGCCACTTACATGTTGTCGTGGGCAGCCTTCATGGCCTTGGCGGCGTAGCCCATGTTCTTGAGCACCTCGGTGTTGGTGTTGGCATTCTCCAGGGCCTCCCGCTGGAACTCGATGGTGGACAGCGTGCCGTCGATCTGTGCCAGCTGCTTCTCGTACCTCTTCTTGCGCTTGAGCGCCTGCAGGGCGGCTGCGTGGAGGAGAGAGCAGGGGTTCAGAGAGCCCAGAGCGGGCATGAACCATGTCTGGGCTTTGAGTCTTCGCCCCAGTGGACTGGCCGCACCTCACTGTCACTGCTCCTTTCACAGGGGTCATCGTCTCTCCTGAATGACCCACCCTGCAGGACAGAGCAGACCTGAGTCTGTAAACAAGTCAAACTGCCCTGCAAGGTCCTGGAGAGGGATCAGCCACCGTCAGTGTAGCCCCCAGCCCTCAGCACCTCCCCACCTGAGACACAGTGTCACTAGGGCCGTTCTCGAGAACAGACACTCAGATGATAGGCCTGTCTTATTTTCCAGTACGCCAACATAGAAGGAGCCTGATCAAATGTTTATGGAAACATTTTATACCATTGGCTACATTATAATTTTTAGAATTACATTCATTTCCCTTTCACTGTCATCGATTCAGAAGGACTTGACCCATAAAACAGGAACCTAGGAAAGCACTTTTCCCACCCTCCAGTCTCAGAGTTTCCAAGAATGTAATTCTTTACAGGAGTAGGAAGTGCCCGTCTTTCTCCTGTGGAAAGCGGCCGGTGGTTTTGAACTGCTAAACTTATAGTTAGCAGCCCAACACATGAGCACCACGCCACCAGGGCTTCTACAGTGTAACTTAGGGCTCACACACAAAAGACTGGGTGGGATCAGCATGATTCAACAAGTCAAACGTCCACTCTTCTTGCAAGTTGTGACGCTTGTTGAATCCTCCCTTCCTGACCTTATTTCAGATCACTGACATCTGCTTCCTAGGCTGCCAGAGTCCAAAGAGCCAAGTTCAATGTTTACACCAATTCTTACTGTTCCTAAGGTCATACCTTACACAAAACCACTGCACCGACTCCATCCTGATGCTCAACGACATTACCCAGGACTTCCAAGTCTGTAACTCTTTACAGGAGCACAAAGCCTCTTCTTTCTCCCAAGGAGCAGCTAGTGGACTTGATCCACCGACCTTATGGCTTATCCGTCCAGGGTTTATCCCACAGCACCCCCGGGGCTCCTTTAATGTTGTGCCTTACATTCCGCACATGGTTAGATTTCAAAAACTCTTCTTTAAGTGTAGGTTACCAAGGAGCTCACCTAAACCAAACATTCAATGAAGAAGTGCCCAAAGAAACCCCTTTCCTGCGAGGGAACCCTGTGCCACTCACACATGCACTCTAATCTAGGCCAATGGAAGCTTAAAAGGTTGCTTTTAGATGGGGGGAAATAGTCCTTGGAATCTCCGTATTTAATTATGCCTTTGCTGGTTCCAAGAGAGTAATTACAGCAGCAATTACAGAATCTAATAACCAGCTTTATTGGCTCTGAAAGCTGAAGCAAAAACAACTCCAACCATGTTGAAATAAACATCGGTCTCCAGACAGTTGCTTCCTTAGACCCTCCAAACAGCTATTCAGAGCCGAGACACAGTAGACGCCCTCAGAAGCACAGAGACCGGCAGTTGCCCCAGAACCAGAACCGTGCCCACGGAGAAACCATTTTCAGAGAACACATCAGTTCAAGGCAACTAGATCGGAGGTTTCTTTCTCCTGGGCAAAGGCAGGCCCCACTTCTCTGAAGAGTTGCTGATGGTTTGCAATGTAAGGACATCACAACAAGCTCACTGCTATTGAGTCAATTCCAACTCACAGCGAGCCTAGAGGACAGAGTAGAACAGCCCCTGTGGGCGTTCAGACGGTCACTCTACCAAAGTAGAAAGCCTCATTTTTCTCTTACAGAGCAGCTAGTGGTTTTGAACTGCCAACCTTGCAGTTAGCAGCCCAATGTGTAACCCAGTATCCCACCGGGACTAGAACAGTGGTTCTCAACCTTCCTAACACTGCAACCCTTTAATATAGTTCCTCAGGTTGTGGTGACCCCCCCCAACCATAACATTATTTTCGTTGCTACTTCATAACTCTAATTTTGCTTCTGTTATGAATCAGGTGACCCCTGTGAAAGGGTTGTTCGATCCCCAAAGGGGTCGTGACCCACAGGTTGAGAACCACTGCCCTAGGCCATCTGAGTAGGTCCTAAGCAGTCCTAATTGTGTTCGTCCATTATTAAAGGCCCGGGATCGAGCACTGGGGTGAGGAGAGGGGCTCAGTCACACACTCTCACTAAATGAATGTTAGGTGTCCTGGTGGTGTGGTGGTTACGCACTCAGCTATTAATCTCAAGGTCAGCGGTTTGAAGCCACCGGCCACTCCGCGGAAGAAGATGTGGCAGTCTGCTTTCATCAGATGGGGCACTCGGTCCCGCAGCGTCACTCTGAGTTGGAAGCGACTGGAGAGCAACAGGGGTGTGAAGGGTGGTGTCTAGTCCTTTCAGAACCCAGATTTCACAAGTGAGTTCATCTAGCAAAAGGGGCTCTTTGGAGGGAAAGGAGAAGAGTGGCCGAGTTTGTTCACTCTCAGTGTGTCCCCCCACAAGCACAGATCCACTCCAGAGGGCACGCCACGCAACGCACCACTAGGGTGCCCGGCTTTGCCAACGTCCTGCTGCACGCACAGGAGGAACACCAGAGGGTCAGGGGGACCTTCAGACAGAAGAACCACACCAGACCCTCAAGCCACTCACGAGCCCCTTTGCTGGACCAGTGGGGGCCACATGTCACCCACTCTGTGTGTGAGAGCAAGAAAAATTTCCCAAGGAAAAACGAGAGTTTACCACCATGCAGACAGTTCTTAGTAACGGTTCCCTGCACCACATGACTTGGGAGATAGCTCCAAATGTTAACTCGCTGGGCGTCACAATCTGTTCCAGTGTCGCAGCCCTGGCGGCGTTCTGCGCAATGGAGAGGTTGAGCCAGGGGCTGCGGAGCCTGCGGAGCTGCAACCGCGCTGAGCTGCAGCCGAGGCTGCTGCCGGAGAGCCTCGCCTGAGAAGGAAGTGGCCTTCTGGACACTCAGGAGACAGCACTCCGGGCGGGCGGGGCTGAGGGGCAGCAGCTGGAAGCAGGATTGCACAAGGCCAGCCAGGACAGCACACCTGCTGAAGGTCAGCCTCGAGCTGGAGACAAGTGGACGAAGACACGACAGTCCCACCCCTTCAGCCGTGTATGTGGCGCAACTGTATCACCAGACCCGTAAACCCAAGTGGGACCACCAGTAAGAACCAGGTGTTCAAAGGCACCCACCGCGGCCCCAGCGTGGCCCAGCCCATCCACCAGGACCACCCCCCACTCTCCTGAAAGAACCCCAAAGCTGTCCTAGGTTCCCCAGCTAGAAGAGAGAGAAAAAACAAAGAGACCGCGGCTGGACTCTGCCTGTTTGCCGGGTACCTCCCCCCTGCACACCCAGAGGTGCTGTGGCACCTGCCCGCAGGGTGAGAAGCTAGGGTCCTGCGATGTATAAAGGGGTGGGTAGGTACCATGTGGAGATGCCAGGCTCCTTTAGACACACTGGTCTCACAAACCACAACCGCACCTTCCACGCGGAGCTAGAGACCGTTCTCCCATCCCGCCCAAATCACCACCCCACTGGAAGGAATTCAAGCCAGAGGGGCAGCAGGCAGCAGGTGCAGAACAGCCTCTTTCCCAGTGAAGTATTTCCTGTGGCCTCTCATTTGCTCTCAGTGGCACGGGGCTAATGTGCTCCACTTAGAGCCGATAAAAGAATTCCTTGTGTGGGACCGGGAAAGCAGAGTCTGAAACCCCACTGACTTCATAGCAAGCTCACGGGGAGGACAGTACTTGCCAGAACACAACTGGAGAGCAAAAGAAAGGAGCCCCTTATCCACTTAGCAAGAAGAAAGAAAGAAGCCCCACAATTAAACACCCAGCCGATCATCAAACTGCTCCAGAGTCAGCTGAGCAGCAGATGAGAGCGGGCAGGGGAGAGGCAGGTGAGGGCCAGCCCCACCATCAAGTGACCCAGACAAATCACCCCACCCCACTCACCCTCAGAAAGGAAGACCCAACTCATTTAAGTGAAACACAGCCAGGGAGCCTTCAAAAAGCTCAAAGGGAAATGCCCTTCTTTTGACTCCCATTTCCAGCCAACCTCTGAAGCCCCTTGTGGATAAAGGCCGGCTGGCATCTGGTCAGCAAGAAGTGCTCAGCCACTGGCCGGCAGGGTTCCTAGTTGCAAGCCTGCAGGATTTCTCAGAGCCTGTCTTCACAGGGAGAGGGAAAAACTTTACAAGGAATCCCACCCACCCATACCTGGTTAGCGGCCACCGCCACTGGGGCAGAGAGCACGAGGCTTGGCTGGAGACAGAAGACTGGGTCAGAATCACCTGCCGGAGTGTATCTCATCAACTATGAAGTGGGAGTGAGCCCATGGCTAAAGGATAGATGAGATTGTTTTTGTTTAAATACCCAGAGCTTTCTCGGCAGTTTGCCCTTTTCTCTCCCCCTAACCCCCACCCCCGCCTTCCCCAGTGTCTGACACGCTCCCTAAGGAATCTCTGTAACTCCCTGTATGTACACAGGCATGTCCCTTAACTCAGTGTCTCTCTCCAAGACAGAGAATACAGCTGTAGCCTGGGGAGAAAGTTAAACACCAACAGCCAACATTTCCGGGGGGCTTCCTGGGGCCCTGTGTTGGTGGCTTCCCACTTTATACGCTATGAGGTAGGTACTATTATTAGCCTCATTTGAGAGAAAGGGGCGATCACCTGCTCGAGTCTTGTGGTCAGGCAGTATTAGGCTTGGGCTTAAAGCCAGGCTGCCTGTCTACAAAGGACGAGTTCTTACTCCCTGTGGAAGCTGCCCTAGTGGGGAGTGCCTTAGGCTGCTGGCCCCAAGGAGAAAGATGAAGCTTTCAGCTCCCATGAAGAGTTATAGTCTTGGAAACCCACAGGGGCAGTACTACTCTGTCCTGTGGGGTGTCAGCATGAGTCAACAGGGACTCGATGGCAGTGAGTTTGTTTTTGTTTTTTGTTTTTTACAGGAACAGCTCCTGGGCAGGCAGTTGCCCTGCTTCCACCTAAGTAAGGCGGGGACCTAAGGACCTCTTGTGCCTTCCCCACCCCACAAGCTAATTCAGCCTGGCATCAAAGGCATCTGGGCGAGGGGGTGTCACTCAGCATTCTCAGCACCCCTCAC